TATGACCTGCTGCAAATGAGATGCATAGCCAGACACCAGCATCTGGCACCGTTCCTGAGGAATCTTAGCCCATTGCTCATGAGCAATGGCTTCCACTTCAGAAATATTCTCGAATTTGCGTGCTGCAACCTTCTTCCTCAGATCCCACTACATATTTTCTATGGGGTTTAAGTTAGGTAACTGTGATGGCCAATGTAGTATTTTGAAGGACTTCTTCTGCAATCAAGCCTTGATGGAATTTGAAGTATGCTTGGTATAACTGTCTTGTTGGAAGGTCCAATGACTCCCAAGCTTCAGCTTCTTCAAAGACCGCATGTTTTTTTCTTCTAGGATTTCCTGATACTTCAATTAATCCATCTTGCCTTCCACGTGCTACAGGTTTCTTGTGCCAGAGTCTGCAAAGCAGCCCCAGAGCATCACTGAATCACCATCATGCTTAACTGTAGGCAGAGTGTTCTTTTTTAGCATATGCTTCATTCTTCTTCTTCCAGACAATACCGCTGATTCATTGGGCCAAAATGTTAATTTTGTTTCAGTGCTCCAGTGTGGCTTCTTTATATTATTTTGAGCATATTCTTTCTTGTGCTTTGGGGTCCGTAGTGGTGTACGTCTTGGAGTTGTGGCATGGAAACCTTCTGCATTTAGTACGCACCTTACTGTGCTCTCTGATACCTCAATGCATGTTGCCACCAAGTCTTGCTGCATGTCTTGTGCAATCACTGGATGTTTTTTTTACTACCTGCCTTTACAGAAATCTGGTTGCAGCCATTGATAGCTTCCGTTTTCTGTCACATCCAGGTAGTGTAACCACTGTTTCTTCAACTTTGAACTTGCAAGCTATGCTTCCAACAGTGTCTACAGGAACATTCAGTGCCTTCACTATCTTTTTGTATCCTGTTCCTTGTTTCTGAAGGGTGGTGATCCATCTTTGTGGACCATAATTTTGTTTTAGTCATATTTCTAACATGCAGTCAAATGTGACAGTCAACAAACCCCTAGTCTGTTCATGTATTTCAAGTGTTCCAGCTAAAGCACACCTGGTGCAACTAATGAAGCCCTTGATTAGTTGCATCAGGTGTGCTTGAGACAACACCTGTTTTTTATATTTGTGCTGTTGTGAGGGATTCTATTCAGAAGGTTGAATAATTTTGAGACTGGTGAAGTATTTATAAGTTTCATTTTCAGATGAATTTGGGGAAACCACCTGAATCATTCGTTGTGTTGAGCTATTTCAATTTAATTTGTTAATTGCAAGCAGCTAAAAGTCTGTAAATCTTGACAATAAACCTGATTTTCAATGGAGGGTTGAATCATTTTGGTTGCAACTGTATATATAGATACATACACAAACAACTCCCTGGTAACTCTATGGTGTTTATTATTAGAGAGTTCAAGGATTTAGATTTGAAGAAACAAGATTTTGCCTAAGTACAATAAAGACGAGAAATTCTTTGCCTAATATATATGGCTGTTTTCAGATTCTGTACAGATTTTTTATTTTTTTTTTAAATCCTTTTTTTCGTGCAGTTATAGGACAGTCATACGTGTATTACCACAACAGCAAATACACGCAATTCGAGATCATTACACAGTAAATACACAGCATGCTAGAGGTACAATTCGCACACATTTTGTAATTATAATGGACTGATATGTTGTAACAAGAGAACTAACAAGTAAAACTGTGGGGTATAAGACACCCGACTATGTGGATCAGTACAGTTATCATGGTGCCAAAGGGTGGTTGAGATGTATGGTATAGGCTATGACATTTAACTATGGTAGGTAGGCCCTGATCCTTTCTCTTAAGGCGAGTGGTTTATGGTGCACCCCGTGGCGCCTTATTTATAGGCTGTGTTTGGCATGTGGTGCAGTGTGGTGTTCCTCTAAAGGGCCCCTTGTTTTAACGTGGTCTGCACCTGTGGTGGCTACCAACTGTGGGTAAGTGGCTGTCGCTCGTAGTTTTAGTGCACTGTGTGCCTCAGGCTAGTATATGATAGCGGTGATGGCTATGCACAGTCGCGACATGGTTTTGTAACTATGCCAAGTGTGTTTCTCGGTAGGTGGAGCTGTGAGTGTGTAGGAAGAGCGAGGGCGTAGTTCTAGTGGTGGCAGATATGTCTTAGAGCTCGATGCTAATCAGGGTTATGGAGCTTCGTTGCTTTCAATACCCTTTTACCCCAGGGAGGGGGTGGGGGGAGTGGATATCACTGGAGCGGGGAGGTGTATCCTCAGTAGGCTCCTTTCTCATCTTATAGACTGTTGCTTGGTAGTTGTAACATAAAATTTAACTAAAATTAGATCATATGAAAAACTTTTGTACAACATAATAGACTAACATTTAAAAGGCTGTAGGCAGTGAGTTATTACAGGTGCCTATGTTTATTCTGGGTGCGACGACCGTTGCTGTGTCCGCATTCCAAGGTTGGGGGCCTGGCTGTGTCGTCAAGGTCAAATCGAGGTTAGGGAGTCCCAGTGCCGCCATTAGCACTGGGCCCTCTGTAGGATCTGTGGCCTTGTAGTGCCTGCCATCTTTGGTAGCCCAAAGGGTCCCTGGGGTCAACCACCTGTAGTTAATGCCTGCTGCTTGGAGTGATTTAGTGAGTGGTTGCATAGTTTTGTGCCAGAGTAGTGTGGCCTTACTTAAGTCATGAAAAAAGGAGTTGGCATTCCTCAAACTCAAAAGGTGTCTTTCTGTGTAGGGCTGCCACTAGCCCCAATTTATCTGACGTTGATTAGCAATGCAGGATGATGTCTCGCAGAGCTGCGTTAGGTGCTTGCAGGGATTTAGCTAGTCTGTAAACTCCATCGAATGACATTTTAAAATAAATTTAGAAAATCTCTTTGAATTCACTATGAATTTTCAATTTAGTGAATAACCAAGTCTGTTTATCTCATTGAAGCGAAATCTCTCCAACTGATCGTACCTGTGTGCAACTTTTCTTATGAGAGAGATGCCATGGTGATATCAACATGGAGAATGCTCTCAACTGTAGGCTTAATAAGTTAATTCTTCTGCTGCCGATGGACTATAATTCCTATTGTATATTATTTCATTGTCGATGCTCTACAGCAAAGTTACCCAACCTAGACCTTCCAACAGTTTCTGGAACATTTCCAATAATTAAAAGAATTGTGCCAAAGGTGGAGGGCCAAGATTACATCCCCCACACCCCCTACTCTATAGAGACAAATGTCATGATATTCTATAGTAAACAAAGAAGCTGAGTCACAGAATCAGGCATGGAAACGTAATGTTCCCCTCCGCTCACAATGAGATCATGGCAATGCAGCAGAAAGGCATTAACGAGTCTCTCTCCATATCCCTGCTATCGCTACCAACCCCATGCCCTGACTCTATGACAAAGCAGGTCTTGTGTTCAGTACATTGGACTCAATGTGCCCCTGCCGTGTGCTGTGGGAGGTTGCCTTTGAATAATGTCTCACTGCTTGGGGCCAGAGCTTGGCTGTGAATGATTGAATACTGAAGGAACCGTCGCCGTTGGTCTGTGCGTACATCAAGAATACACCTTGTAAACAAGTCCACAGAGATGATGCTGCGAAGATACCACCGGCGGTAGAAAGCACATTGGTGCTTTATCGTTTTCAATTACAGACTCAATCACGATCTAAAGCCCATTTTACTTTTTAATAATGTACATCTATGCACATTTATAGCTGGCTCTGTAATTTCACAGTAGGCTGTACTGGCAGTTGTTGGATGCTGCTTGACACATGGAAACAGGGGCAAGTTCAGCTAGTCCGATTTTTGCATTATTTCTACTAACCACCAGTGATGTTACTTCACCTTATCCAACTGCATGCTCTACTTATCCTGCACACTATGGTGTGACTAGCCTGCTACCACCGCCCATTTACCTACACAGACCACTGTCACTAAACCACCACCACTATTCCTGCACACTATGGTGTGACTAGCCTGCTACCCCAGACCATTTACATACACAGACCACTGTCACTAAACCGCTACCACTATTCCTGCACTCACATCACTGTCACTAAACAGCCCCACTCTTCCTGCACTCGTACATCATTGTCACTAAACCACCACCACTATTCCTGCACTTGTACATCACTGTCACCAAACCACCATCACTATTCCTGCACTCACATCACTGTCACTAAACAGCCGCACTCTTCCTGCACTCGTACATCATTGTCACTAAACCACCACCACTATTCCTGCACTCGTACATCGCTGTCACTATACCATTACCACTATTACTGCACTCACATCCCTGTCACTAAACCGCCCCACTATTCCTGCACTCTTACATCATTGTCACTAAACCACCACCACTATTCCTGCACTCTCACATCATTGTCACTAAACCACCACCACTATTCCTGCACTCGTACATCACTGTCACTATACCACCACCACTATTCCTGCACTCACATCACTGTCACTATACCACCACCACTATTCCTGCACTCGTACATCACTGTCACTATACCACCACCACTATTCCTGCACTCACATCACTGTCACTATACCACCACCACTATTCCTGCACTCGTACATCACTTTCACTATACCACCACCACTATTCCTGCACTCGTACATCTCTGTCACTAAACCACCACTATTCCTGCACTCTCACATCACTGTCACTAAACCACCACCTTTATTCCTGCACTCGTACATCACTTTCACTATACCACCACCACTATTCCTGCACTCGTACATCTCTGTCACTAAACCACCACTATTCCTGCACTCTCACATCACTGTCACTAAACCACCACTATTCCTGCACTCTCACATCATTGTCACTATACCACCACCACTATTGCTGCACTCTTACATCATTGTCACTAAACCATCACCACTGTTCCTGCACTCGCACATCACTGTCACTAAACCACCACCACTATTCCTGCACTCATACATCACTGTCACTAAACCACCACCATCACTATTCCTGCACTCTCACATCACTGTCACTAAACCACCACCTTTATTCCTACACTCGTACATGACTGTCACTAAACCACCACCACCACTATTCCTGCACTCTCACATCACTGTCACTAAACCATCACCACCATTCCTGCACTTGCACATCACTGTCACTAAACCACCACCACTATTCCTGCACTCGTACATCACTGTCACTAAACCACCACCACCACTATTCCTGCACTCTCACATCACTGTCACTGAACCACCACCTTTATTCCTGCACTCACATCACTGTCACTATACCACACCACTATTCCTGCACTCTCACATCATTGTCACTATACCACCACCACTATTGCTGCACTCTTACATCATTGTCACTAAACCACCACCACTATTCCTGCACTCGTACATCACTGTCACTGTACCACCACCACTATTCTTGCACTCACATCACTGTCACTAAACCGCCCCACTATTCCTGCACTCGTACATCACTGTCACTATACCACCACCACTATTCCTGCACTCGTACATCACTGTGACTATACCACCACCACTATTCCTGCGCTCACATCACTGTCACTATACCACCACCACTATTCTTGCACTCGTACATCACTGTCAAAATACCACCACCACTATTCCTGCACTCACATCACTGTCACTAAACCACCACCACTACTCCTGCAATATTACAGTAATGTCATAGAGGCTATTACTGTGATATCTGTATATTGTACGAGAAGGAGTTACTATGGCTATCTGTACATTGTACGAGAAGGAGTTACTTTGGCTATCTGTACATTATGTGAGAAGGAGTTACTGTGGCTATATGTACATTGTGTGAGAAGGAATTACTGTGGCTATCTGTACATTGTGTGAGAAGGAGTTACTGTGCCTATCTGTACATTGTATGAGAAAGAGGCTGTTACTGTGGCTATCTGTACATTGTACGAAAAGGAGTTACTGTGGCTATCTGTACATTGTACGAGAAGGAGTTACTGTGGCTATCTGTATATTGTACGAGAAGGAGTTACTGTGCCTATCTGTACATTGTACGAGAAGGAGTTACTGTGGCTATCTGTACATTGTGTGAGGTGGAATTACTGTGGCTATCTGTACATTGTGTGAGGTGGAATTACTGTGGCTATCTGTACATTGTGTGAGGTGGAATTACTGTGGCTATCTGTACATTGTACGAGAAGGAGTTACTGTGGCTATCTGTACATTGTGTGAGGTGGAATTACTGTGGCTATCTGTACATTGTACGAGAAGGAGTTACTGTGGCTATCTGTACATTGTACGAGAAGGAGTTACTGTGGCTATCTGTACATTGTACGAGAAGGAGGCTGTTACTGTGGCTATCTGTACATTGTGTGAGGTGGAATTACTGTGGCTATCTGTACATTGTGTGAGGTGGAATTACTGTGGCTATCTGTACATTGTGTGAGAAGGAGTTACTGTGGCTATCTGTACATTGTACGAGAAGGAGTTACTGTGCCTATCTGTACATTGTACGAGAAGGAGGCTGTTACTGTGGCTATCTGTACATTGTGTGAGGTGGAATTACTGTGGCTATCTGTACATTGTGTGAGGTGGAATTACTGTGGCTATCTGTACATTGTGTGAGGTGGAATTACTGTGGCTATCTGTACATTGTGTGAAAAGGAGGCTGTTATTGTGGCTCTCTGTATATTGTGTGAAAGGGAGATTGTTGTTTTTTGTCCACTGTGTGTGAGAGGGAGTCTGTCGCTGTCTAGGCACTGTGTGCTGTGAGGTGGAGACTGTTAATGTCCTTTAGATTGTAAACTTGTTTGGGCAGGGCCCTCTTCAATTACTGTTCCCGTATGTCAGACATTTTTTGTTAGAATTAGATGTTTTTCTTGTTTCCTATTGTACAGTGCTGCAGAATATGTTGGCGCTATATGTAATTGTCTTTATCCACTGCAGTTGAGGATAAGGCTGTTATTGCAAAAAATGAGACTATGAGAACTCTCAGAATGGCAAAATCTCAGAAAAATAGCTTCTCCTTCAGTTAATCCCTGCTAAGGTCTTAATAAAGTTTTTATCACTTGTGCAATTACAGAGAGAATCTATACCATTTGTATACCATAAGGTCTGTCCAGATCCAAAATTTGGGCAAGTTCTCTCTTCACAAGAGAGAGAACAACCCCTAGCTATCGTTACGGTCGTCTTTTGGCCTTGCTGATACCCCTCTTCTCACAGTAAGCATGGGGTCCACGCCCGGATGACCCTTTTAACCTCAAATAAAATGCATTAAAGCATAAACTGAGAATATGAGAAAACTCGAGCTTGCCTTTTGGTTGATCACCACTCAGGTCTAATAAAGTTTGTGCTCACTTGTGCCGTTTCTGGGGGAACCTACACCATTTCCATGTCAGACTGATCCCGTCTATAAAGGAAGTCCAGACGTGAAATGCCAGTTTCAGTTACAGTTGCTGTACTGATATTCTAATACTCTCACTATACGGTCATTTATCCATACCTTTCAAGCACACACTATGTTGTTACTTCACATCTGGCTTGCAGAACACCGACCATACCATTCCAGAACACACACTACTATACTTCCTGACATTTCGAATAGACACAGAGGGACACTTTCAGTTTAGAGTCCTGAATGGGTGGTGGGCAGCTGTCCATGGTAGGGCTATCCTGAGAAATTTGAGGTGATTTACTAATAACAAATTATGCAACTAAAATATAATTTAGCACATGAACAATGTATCTTTTTAAAGAGACTGATTTCTAAAGACATTTATTGTAGTTTAAAGACAGATTACTGTTAGTATCATTGCTGTGAAGCCTAGATTTACCAACAATATGGAGCTATTAGAAAAAAGGGACATTAGAACAGAGGTCAGAGGGATCTGGGCCCAAAATAGGGACTGTACCTCCTAAAAAGGGACACTTGGGAGGTATGCACTCGCATTATGCTTTACACCTTTGAGCCACAGTTTTCATTGGTAATCCAACACATATGCAGTACACTGGCACATATTTATTTTACACTGTCTTCTGCTAATCCAGCACACAAACACACGGTTACCATTACATCTCTCTCCTACAGTTATTTTCGCTATTCCGTGACATGCACACAATGCTAGTATTGCACCTCTCTGCTATTCCAGCACACATGCCATGTTACTATTGCACCTCTCTCCTGAGTGCACACACAATGCTGCCATTCAACTCTATCCTACTAACTCTGTAATTTCAGTATACAAACAATACTGCCACTACGGATGCACTTGTATTCCAGAGCGCACAATTTGCTATCATTACAGCTTTCTAGTGCTCTCTGCTTCCCAGAACACATTAGGCTACAATTACACCTTTTTGTTGCTGACATACTTTTGCCAATACACCTTTATTATACAGTGATCTCTGCTATTCCAATGTACACACTGTACTGTTATTACACCTTTATTCTACTCTGTCTGCTATTCCAGCACATGCATTGCAGCATTACAACATTGTTCCTCCTCCAGTTCCCACTGCTAATCCAGCACACACTACACTACCATTAAACCTCTCTCTTACAAAGCTCTCTGCTTTTGCATGCACAGACTGGTGCGTGTGTTTTACCGTTTCTCTGAGATTATGGTGTTTATGTATCATATATCAGTTCATTTCTCCTTCTTTCCTTCCCACCTTCCCTCTCTCTATTTCAGACTATTTATCCCTCTATATATCTGATTTCTGTACAGCTGGCTCTGTGTACTCCAGGAGGGATGCTCTGTTTATTATCTGCTAATATATAAGCTGAGGTTCCAGCGGCAGGTGGTAATTTTCGATCTCTTGGCCCCTCCGGTACCTCTCTGGCACAAGACCAGATACTTTACAAATGCTGCACATCTGCTCTGTAACCCCTTCTCTGCAACCGTTTGAGTAGGCCATTACTATAGCTGTTTGTTCACCGTGTGCGAGGATGTACATTATTCTGCTTGTGAGCGGGAGTGTATTACTGTTACTGTCTGTATACTGTGTGCATGCGAGAAGGAGAGTGTTACTGTCACTGTCTGTACGCTGTGTGTGAGGGAGGCTGTTACTGTCTGTGCATTGTGTGTTAGAGGGAAGCTGTTACTGTCTTGACATTGTGTGTTAGAGAAAGGCGGGTACGATCTGTACATTGTGGTAGAAGAAGGCTATTATTGTCTGTCAATCAGAGGTGGCTCTAGACTTTATGAGGCCTTAGGCGAAACTCAAACATGAGGCCCCACTAACAAAAAAGTGAAAAAAATAGAGTTGCAATACATGCACACTGTCACATATACACATTGATGCACGGTTTACCTGTGTATGTGCCTGAGAGTGTCTGACAGAGAGTATCCGTGTGTGTGTGAATGTATGTCTCTGTGAGTATGTTTGCGTTTTTGTCCGTGACTGTATATGTATGGGGTAGCTACTTAAAGTGTGTTGTGTGTATGGGGGTCTGCCTGTAGCCTTTGTGCATTGTGTTTATGGCAAAGTTTTGATTCCTGACTGTGTGTGTAAGATGAATGTCTTCAGCTGGTGGCTGTGACAAGGTGAGTAAAGGGGTACCAGTGGCAGGGAGAGTGTGACAGGGTGAAGGGGTAAATGGACAGGGTGGGGAGGGGATAAGGGGGGGTTGTGAGAGAGAATGAAGGACAGGGAGTATGACCTGGTTTAATGAGGGCGTGTGACAGGGCGAGTGGAGGTAAGTGTGTCAGGGCAATTGTGGCATTTTAGGAGGGACGAGTGAGGGCAGGTGCGTTTGGAGGGGGTGAGATTAACAGGATTAGGAGTGGTTAATGTGAGTGTGGATGCATGAAGAGGCTGACAGTGTGTGTGGGGGGGGGGTGATGACCATGTAGGGAGGGGTGATAATGTGTGGGGAGGTGACAATGTGAGGGGATGCTAACAGTGTATCTGGGTAGGCTGTGTGTGTGTGGGGGGGTGTGATACTGTGTGTGAGAGGGTGATGTGTGAGGGAGGGAGGGGTGATGGTGAGAGAGAGGGTGTCGTGATGGTGAGAGGTAGAGGGGGGACACTAAATACCTTTTTTTTTCTGGTGGTCCAGTGTGGGCTGCCTGGTGGTCCGGTGGCCATTATATCCGGTCTGCATTATATCCGGTTTTTCTCTGACACGGCAACGCTCTGATTGGCCAGAGTTGTAGACTCCACACTGCGGAGCTGCAGACCAGTGTTTGCAATTGCTGGCCGGGCAGACAGGAGGGGCCTCGCACCCGGTGGCACACTGAGCAAGCTGCTGGGCCCCCTCCTGGTGTCTGCCCTAAGGTGGTTTAGGTGGCTGCGAGGCCCCAGCCAGCCAAGTAAACTGCCTCTGCGGTCAATTGTGTGTTAGAGAGAAGCTGTTACTGTCTGTACTTTGTGTGTTAGAGGGAGGCTGTTACTGTCTGTACATTGTGTGTTAGAGGGAGGCTGTTACTGTCTGTACATTGTGTGTTAGAGAGGGGC